ATATACGTGTACTAATAGAATAATATTGTAATATTTCCATCTGCACTGACATGTGATCGCTTTCAGCTAGTTTAATAAACCTCTGAACTGACTCTTAGGAAACCTAACTTTCTTTCCCGTACTGGATTACCTTTATTTTGAACTGAATCGAGTTGAACATTTGAGCGATTTTTTTGGACCAATGATATAGACCCAAGTCTCAGATATATTAGCGGTTGCATCTTCTAGAGTTTCAGAAATGGAAAGTTTGGGAGGAGATTGCTTCCAAGTTGTTAGTGTCATTGAAGGACGGTCGCGATAACGATTTGTTCGACAAATTATGCCGTCACTAATCCTCGAAGCTCGTGTGGCCACCAACGTACTACGACTCGAATGCTAGCATATTGGCATGCAAGGCTCCCAAAAGGGGATCTATAAAGATTATTTGCTTCCAAATTTTGCACATTCTGTCTCCTTCTTCGCTCCCATTTGTTAAGAATAATGTTCGCAAGTTTCAGTGAATTGGGAGAAACCACTTAAGGTACTAGAAAACCAAGTAAATGTTTGCAGGTCCATAGTTTCACATCCATTTTCTGCTAACTAGATATACTTAGTGGGAAGAGGACATTAACAGGCAATAAGCCCCGCCTTCGCGGACTACTGCTCCGTAGTAAAAAAAATCCCAGGATGTACTGACAGACCATTAAACCCTCTATAAAAGAGACTTCATCTTCTGTAGGAACACAGTGAAACTGTTCACGAGGCGAAGCCTAATGGCCGTAAGTAGTCCTATACCCATACCTGATATTGTTAACGAGATAGTTTCGTACTTGCACTTGCTCATAGCATTCTATTAAATTTTACCTGTTCAGCTGATTCTGAAACATTTTCAGTTTCAAAGTGGTCTCCTACACCAGCGAAGAACGACGTCATTGGATCGCTAAGAGGGAAGGGTAGGGCTATAAGGGAGAAAAGGTATTGACAGCATGCAAATTTTTCCAATACGAGTAATAATTGAATGGACATACGGCTTTCGCCCTTTGCAGCAGCAGATCCACCGGTGGATTTGCGCTTGCCAAGCGGTTTGGAGAAGTCTTCAATTTGTGGTTTTGCTTTACGCCTTACTCGACCACTGTCTGGGTTACAAGTATGCACGTTAAAATCATCAATTCTCAGCTAAAATATGAGTATCAAATCTTCTTATCAGTTCATTTTGACAATGCATGATTTGAAATTAATCATATACAATTGGAGATACCTTTTCATCGGGATTGTTCGGGATGCAAACACTCATTTCGTAGCGACACCCACTCGATCGCTTTACATGACAGTAGTAAATAATCCTAACGCAGTCCTTCATAAGCACATGTCGTTTCTGAGACACGAGCTTTTCCGAAAGTAGCTGAAAGAACAGAATTTCCTAATAAGAAGAGACATTTGTTCGCCCCTCGTTCTCATGTCCCCGTGATAAAGCAAAGTAGGTGTTACAAAATTCCAAAAGGCTAATTATCTCCTCTTATTTCTTTGCAGAATCTCTCTTAATTTTCTATAGTTATCCAAGCATGCCTCATAAAGACAAGATCGTTGACAACTACGTACGCAAAACTGAGTTCATTGGATACCTAAGGAGGACTTCGTTTACAAG